GAGACAGGAAAGTCAGTTATGGCACGTTCATACAGAATTTGGACTCGGGCTGGATCACCAAAGGATTGTTCATATTCTAAGTAACTCTGCAATAAATTATTTTTTTAGTCGACTTCAGCACAACAGTACAATAGCATAAAGAAGAAAAATGAATAATTGAATACCATAAGAAAAGGCAGGCGGTGCTTTTAAGTAAACATGAAAAAATCAATTTTAATTTTAAAGTTATTATTGAATAAATGAATAACTTATGAGATTTTAGGGATAATTTGATACCATGAAATGTTGAAATCTCTCTGACTCAGATATATCCTGTCTAGTGATCTGTTCTTCATGATGAGCGCGGGCATTGTACATCTCCTCTGCCTTTTGGTAAGCTGAAGCAACATGGGATGAAATCCCATCCACAGTGTCAGACTCAGAATCAAGAGCATTTCCTTGCTCCACCTCCCAAGCCTTGTAGGCAAAAAGGGTAGACCTCAAGTTAGCAAGAGGAATGGACAAATGACGGTGGAATATACTTCGTACGCGCTGGACCTGTTTCTCTTTAGCCTAAAAGGCGGATGGATAATAATCAGTCATGCTCAAAACACATGCCCTTCAACAGAAAAGTCTATATGCATAAAGCAATATTCTGACCTGAATGTCGGAGTGGTCAATAGTTAGTAAAATAGCTTGCTCAAATTGGGTGTAGGCATCCCATATTCGAAAGCCTTGAGCAACATGCAAAGCAGCAGCAGTAACAGCACGCTCAAACAGATTCCTTGCCTTTGAAATCCCATCAGCTGAACATTGACGTACTTTTGGATCATGTTCTTGCACATAATTCAGGTACTCACACCAAAGGGAGACAGAGAGATACTCGGAGATGCCTTTCTCGTAAAGCTTCTCGACTGCCTCAAAACCGGAATCATCCGAAAGAGAAGCTTCGTCTTTGGCCCATTCCACCCACATTGAAGGACTCAATGGAAACAGTGCATTCATGTTCTCCCTTGCTTCTCGTAGCTTCTCTATTTCACCCCTCTTCCTCAAAAGCTTTATGTACTGGGAAACAAAACCAAAGGCATTACTTTTATAAGTAGAACTAGCACTAGTACCAGCAGTAGGGAAAATCTTCGATTAACTAGGACAGTCTACCTGGACATGAGCGTCGTAGTTGGAGGGATTGGTGGAGAGCTCAGATTCTAGGGTTTGAAGCTGCTCAATCTGCTCCGCTTCGTCTTCCGAATCGCTTGACTCCGAATCGCTACTGGATTTCGAACTGGTTTTTGGGTTTTCAACAACGTCTCCTTCCCTCATTTCAGCGTCTTCTTCTTCCGTGGAAATTGGGGATTTCTCAACCTCCTCCATTTCCCTTTTTCTTTCTTTTTCTCCCTTCTTTTTCTTTTGTCCATGCTCACTAATTCCTTTTATACAGTCAACTTTCTTCATTATTTTTCAAAGTTTGAGTGAGTTATACATATATATATATATATATATATAGGAAAGTGTTAATTTTAACAAAAATTTTACTGAGAATATGATTTTCGTTTGTATAATTATCATTATATATGAAAGTTTAATATATTTACGTATTTTTTAAATGTAAATTTTTATAAAGTAAAATATTTATTTTTTAAATTTTAATTAAAATTATATAAAAATTTATTAATTTTTTAAATAAACATTCCATCTTAAAATTAAAAACATTGTTACTAAAAATAAAAAAATTTAAAATATTTTTTATTAGTTTAAAAAATTATTATTATATTTTTAATTAAAATTAAAAAAATAAAGAGCACCTTTAGCTGTCCCTAGCTCCTCCAAAAGGGGTGCACCAGCAGATGCACCCAAGGGAGGGGAGGTCCGGTGCTACCTTAGGAGCCCTCCGGTGCTCCTCAATGAGTAGCCCTTTTTTTTTAATTAATAAAAAAATAATAAAATTATATAATTATAATTATAATAATTAATTAATAATAAAATTATTTTTTTATTTTTATCACATTAATAAATTAACGCATCCATTTTCAAAAATAATAAATTTTTATATAATTTTGATTAAAATTTAACAAATTATACTGTTTTACCTATTTTCATATGATAATCAAACCTTATTCCTTAAATTATTGAATAATAACATGACCAATAAAAACATCACAATCTTAATAAACAAAATTTATTACTAATTCTGTAAGATTTTAACATAAAATTATAATAAATATAAACTTAATATTAATTATTTAAATTTGGTCCATATATTAAGGTACTAATTTATGACTTCAATTGATAATGTTATCCTAAATTTCAACAATATAAAAATTAAATTTAATTATAATTTCCATAATCTTTTGTTTCTAAATTCCAACACCCAATGCTTATGATTATGGCAAAATACAGTCACTATTTCATTAATTAATAGATCGAAATTACATAAACACATGAAATCTTCATCCGTAACAAGCACATCTCCATCATCACATTCCAAAGATACCAAATATGTAACTACAAATTCTACTTTTGAGTAGCCTTGGTGGCCTTGACATCCTGGGCAGAAGAACCCTCCTCCTCAACAATGTCGATGACCTTAGGCTGCCTCTTAATCTCCTCAGCAAACTTGGGCACAACAATCCTCAGAACCCCATCTTCCAAATGAGCCTTGATGTGATCCAAATCTGCATTGCCAGGCAACCTGAACTGCCTCCAGAACTTGCCATTGATTCTCTCAGCTCTGTGCCACTTGTCTCCCTCAACTTGCTCCTCATCTTTCCTCACCCCGCTGACCCTCACCACCCTGTTCTCCTCCACCTCGATCTTCACATCATCTTTCTTCATCCCCGGAATGTCCAGGGAGATGACATGCGCCTGTGGGGTTTCTTTCCAGTCTGCTCGAGCCAATGCCAGGGTGGTCTCAACCCCTTTGGACACTGTCAGTGGGGTGTGTTCCAGGATTCGAAAAGGGTCTTCTGCTGGGACCATCATGTCCCATAAGGACCTTGTGTAGGGCATGAGTGCATTGCCTTGGGTCGCCATAAGAGCTATTACTGCAACCAAGAAAAACATAGTCGCTTTGCTGAGGTTTTGGATGCTCATTCTGGTTTCGTAAAGGGAATTAATGAAACAAAAATCAAAGCAAAAGAATGCTCTCGAGGGTGACAATTGATCTTCAAGAAGATGTTTAACAGTGTTGGATGGTTTTCTCGGGGTGGGAATGGCATATATGATTATATGTTTATATAAGTTGAAGCCTGAGCTGTGATGTATGTGGGATTTCTGCGGATTGTTCTCGTAGGAACAATCTAGGATGCATGGCTGTGGACTTGTGTAGACGTTTCCAGAGAATTGCTAAATCTGAACCTTTCGGTGAACTGAACACGTGGAGCTTTGGGTGCAATTCTTGTGCATTTTATTTTTTTCAATTTATTTTGATTTAATTTTTTAAAAATCACAATTACTCATAAATTTTCGAAAATCAAAATTAAAATTGATCTCTAATTATTAAATATATGTCGAAATAATGCACATTTAACCCAATTGATAATTCCATAAGACAAAATAAAAATATATTTTCATATTTTGATTCAATTGTTAACATTGTTTAAAATTTTTTTATTAAATATGTTGAAGCAACGTTATCATGTTGTTATTGATTTGATGTCGTTATGACAATGTCGTTGATTATAATAAAATGTTTACTTTAAACCACATAAAAGAAAAAATTAGGAGAAATTTTACTATCCTTAAATAATTTAAATTTAAAAAATAAATATGAGAAATAATAAATTTTCTCTCTTTAGAATTACTAACAGAGCAATAGTCTATGTTGTGTTTATTAACTTTTATTAAAATAACATCTAAAAGAAGAAAAATTATATTAAATCATCTCAAATTAGTTTTTCGGATCAGAGTTTGCGAATCAATTCGGGTTTAAGTTATTCGAATTTGAATTGATTTTGATTGGGATGAAATTAAGTAGGATAAAATTCAAAAACACAAGAGCAACTGAATTCCTTTATGGTATGCTTGATGAATGTTTCACATGGAAAGGGACAAAATAGAAACCATGGCTTTATAAAGCCAGTAGCCCAAGCAAAATAAGAATCAAGACTTGAGCATAGAACCCCAACTTTCTTTAAAAACCTGTGGGAATGGCTATTCCATTTATGCCTTAAAAAGTTGTGAAAAAGCAATACAGTAGATAATAGGTAATGTTATTAGCATTAGTTCAATTACCCACTATGCTTTTGAATTTGACCAGGCAAGCCAATGCTTGCTCAAATTCAGTGTCTTCCAAGGCAAAGGTGAAGCGACAGTAGCCAGGAATTCCAGTCCATGAGCCACTGTTGATGCACAAGCCTGTGGTCTTGACAATGGCTTCCCTAATGGTTGAGCCGTCGAGCTGAACTTCATAGGTGCTGGCATCCTTCTCACTGCTGCCTGTGTCTTTAAGTGAATGGCTGACCTTTACAGCCTTGTTAAGGAATGAGGGCTTTGCCACCATTGAAACACCAGCCAGGGGTCTGAGCACATTCCACCCACATTTTTCAAGTTCCTATTAAAGGACAATAAATAAGATTATTTGAGGAATGGGATGACTGGATTTGGCAGTAACCGGAAGTAATTACCATTAAAATCCAGTGCTTGTTTTTCACACAAGTAAAGGGTTAAGATATCAATCCACAACTGATTTAAGTACATCTTTCACACTTCCATCAAGGAAATAGGTAAATCTTTGTTAAGAGATACACAAAAAGTTATATACAGTAGAGGGTGAGGGGGAAAAGGTTACCTCTTTCAAACGCTTAGCTCTGTTTTCCAAATGTCTTGTATGTTCTGTGACAACATCCAACATTCCTCCTTTCTGCTCTTGCAGAGCCAGCAACTTCTTGATTGCATATTTATCTGTACTATGAGGTTTGCTTAAGCCAGGAAAGCTATGAAATGCATCAATTAAATGTGGTTGATTTAGAGCCAGAAACCCGAATTTGAGTGCTCCACTAAGCAGTTTCAGAGACAGTCCTCCAAGCAGAGAAACACAGAAAGAGGGGTTGCCAGAGGAAGATAGCTTTGATAAACAGCCCTCCAAATTCCAGCCACCCCAACCTTGAAAGTCGAATTCCAGTCCTGAGAATGAAGTATCAATCACCACCCTTGCCCCAAATCTTGCACATGCAGTTAAAATGTTTTCCATCTCTTTGTTGCTGTAAAGCAAGCCAGTTGGGTTTATTGTTGGACCAGAAATATATACCCATGGCTTTTTCACAGTCTCAAGTGCTTTGTTGAGAATTTCCCCTGTCAGCTTAAAGCCTTCTTTAGAGTTTGTAGGGATGTTCACAACGTTCGCTTTCAAAAATTTGGCAACAGAAACATAATTGCCATTTGAGCCAGCTGGAAAGCACATAGTTCCACCTTCCTGAATGCAGCAAAGGACCAGATTCTTAAAAAGAGCTTGCGAGCAGTCTGAATATATAAATTCTGTGCTGCTATCAGTTGAGAACCCATAATTGCTCTTAACAAATTGTTTTATACTAGGAGTGACATCAATTTCAGACTCAGCCATTTTTTGTCGTGCAAAGCTTTCAAAGATAGCAGCCTTAACTGGAGAAGGCATTGGCAGAAACCATTGATCCACATCCATATGTATAAGAGAGTTCCTGTCATCAGAAATGGATAATTCGGAATTGTTAAGGACTGAGATCGCTGAAGTAGCAAATCCTATCATCTCAACTGATTTGGACTTTTCAATTCTCCTCTGTAAGAAAGTAGAAAAAGCTTGTCACACAAAAAATCTTACATTCAGAAATAACAGCGCATAGTAAAATTTCCATGTACAAAATAAAAAAAAAGAAGAAAAAATTGAACTTCAAAATATCTACAAAATGTGAAAACATTGAACATTCGATAAGTGAACCTACTAATAATCATAAATTAAGTGGTGCTATCCTGTAATGATTTGATTTAGAAATTGTAATGACATTGTCTTTGGCTTTAGCCTCTCCAACTATTGCTAATTAGTTTTAAGTTAGATGCTAAAAATGGTATCACCAGCCCATGGCAATTTTGAGCCCTGTTGATGGTAAGCTTCATGTCGTGTTCTGAATGCAGAAACACCATGGCCAAATATCTATCAAATTTTCGTGCAAGGTGCATATGGACATTTGAAACACTTAAAATGAAAGCGTACTAAAGAAAAAGGTTGAGAACGTTCTTTTGAATGGTTGGCTTTCCTTATTCTTAAGAGACAAATGACTCCCAGTTACTTTGGATGTCTATCTGAAATATACCTATACTTTCACTAATTAAGTCAGTATTGCCAATGGAGACATGGTGAATTGTATTCCATATATTCAAGTAATTGACAAACCTCTGGATGTGGATGTCGGTCCGTAAGTTGAAAAGCTAGAAGCTCATGGAATAGACAACCGTAGTAGTACTGGCTGATCAATGATGTATTCCCTTCGAGTACTT